AGCACAGAACATTTTTTCTCTCATTAATAAACTATTACTTAACTCATTGGGAGAAAGCAATTGATGATCAAGAACATAGTTGGGTTGATTAGGAATTCGTTCTTTACTCAAGAAAAATTCTTTGTCTTTAGCTTCCAAAACTTCGCCATTTTGGCAAACAAAAATATTTTTTTCGGGTATTCCAATTTCCTTTGCCAAATGACCATGTTTTTTTAACATCCGGAAATCACCATGAAAAGGCATAAAATATTTTGGTTTAACCAAGGTAAGCATTAATTTCAAATCTTCTTGACAAGCATGACCAGAAGCATGGAGTAAATCTTCCTTATTATTTTCATAAGTTTTAGCTCCGAGTGCAAACAATTTATTGTTAATCATTTCCACATTCGATTTATTATCCATAATTGGAGAAGAAGTTAAAATAATTGAGTCTCCTGCTTCAATTTTCCAATCGGGATAATTTTGGTGAGCTAAGCGACTCAGAACCGCTTTTTCTTCCCCTTGGGAACCAGTACAGAAAATAATTAATTTATTATTTGGAGTTCTACTGATTTCAGAAGCTTTTAAAAAAATTAAACTATCAAGTTTTCACAAACTGGCTTTCTGAATAGCTTTCATCATTTTTAACAGAGAAGAACCCAGCAACACGATTTTTTTTTTTGTCGCCTTGGCAATTTCGATAACTTTTTTTAACCGATAAACATTAGAAGCAAAAGAAGTGATAATTACTCGACCGGTTGCATCGCTAATGATATTTCCGAGACGCTTAATTACTTTTGTTTCGGAAGGAGTATTGCCTTCAATTTCAGCATTAGTGGAATCACTAAGTAATAAATCAATTCCTTTTTTTCCTCATTCAGCTAACTTGACTAAATCGGCTTTTTCTCCAATTTCGTTTCAATCAAATTTGAAATCACCAGTAACGACCAAACGACTGTCATCAGCCAACACCTCTATTATAATTCCAAAAGATCCAGGAATTGAGTGTGTTACTCGGAAAAAATTTACTCGAAATTCACCAGTGCGAATGACAGTGTCATCACGAAAAATAGTAGTGGTATCTTTTTTATCGCCTTTTAATTTCTGTTTTAAAAGTGAAATAGAAAACTCGGAACCATAAATCGGAATAGTTGGAATTAACTGTAATAAATAAGGAATGCCGCCAATGTGGTCCTCATGACCATGAGTAATGAACAATCCTTTTATTTTTTCTTTGTTTTCAACTAGGTAAGAAAAGTTAGGAATAGTGCCATCAGCCAAGTTATTGCCATTCAAGAATTTAATTCCACAATCAACAATAATTATATCATCGTTCTTTTCAAAAACATAACAATTTTTCCCGACTTCATGTAGACCACCGAGGGCAAAGATTTTTAAATTACTCGACATAACTACTTTTTTTGTTTTTTTTTCTTTATAAAGAATAAATTAATTTCCGTAAGGTCATTACGGTTAATGAGAGAAAGGCAATTGTTATAAGCAATTTCAATATACTTTGAGCAATATTCTTCCCTACTAAGTTTGCTATTGTTCATTTCATTTTGACTGAAACCTAAAAGGTTGGATCAATTCAATCCTTTATAATTAAAATTGTTTCTATTTGACATTGTTTATTCTAAAATATTTAGTTTCTATTTGATTTTTATGGTGCGCCTAAGAGGAATTGAACCTCTGACCATTTGAACCGAAGTCAACAAAAACTTTTTTTTTAGAATATTAATTAAAGAGTTTTTTTTATATATAATATGTTTTAAGCAGTTAAATGCACTTTAACTGCTTGCTTTTAAACTTCATAATTTGCTGTAATCGGCATACAAAGTTTGATAATCATTATGAAGACATTGATAAAAATAAAAAAAAGTAAGGATGTTGAATGATTTTTTAGAAAGGCATAAATCTTTTTAAAGATTAATCTTTTTTACTATTTTCTATACTTTTTAAAGAAAGAGAAAAACATTTATCTGAATCTTTGAAATGTTTTCTAAGGGCTTCCATAACATCAGCATCCATTTGATTTATATTAATTTTTCATGACCTTAAAATTTCTTCTTTTAAAGGAGAAATTGAAAGAGAAGTTTTTTCTCATATTAAGGGAATTTCTTCGCTTTCTCAATCACAAAAAGGACAATTAATAGATATTATGGAAAGTCTTAGAAAAATTGAAAATAAAGAACTTTTAAGTGAACTTCAAACTAGAATAAAAGAGAACAAAACCGTGAAGATCAATCAGGATAAAATTTGATTAATTCTACACTTTAAAAAATCTTTTGACAATTGTCGATTGGCATATCAATAGAAGTTGTTCGCCCAGCAAATTCAATATCAATTTTAACTTTTTTTTTCTTCTGATCTAAGTAGGTAATTCTTCCTTCATAATCAATAAAAGTTCCCGACACAATTTTTACTAAATCACCAATATTTACATTAATAACACTACCATCATTAACTTCTTCGGTTTTTTTTTTCTCCTGAACTTCGGCGGAAAAACTTTTAATTATTTCGGGCGAAACAAAATCTGGCGACTTATCTCCTTTTCGCTCGTGATTCAAAAAACCAATTATCCCAGGAAAACGATGAAAAAATCGTATTAATGCAGGGGTTAGTGAGCAGTAACAAAAAATATATCCTCTTAAAATTTTTTTTTTATTTTTATCACTGAAAACTTTCAAGTCTCGAACATAATCGTTTAGTCCATTTTTCACTAAGTCTAACTTAATATTTTCAATAATTTTCTCTTCTTTGCCTCCTCGCGTTGACAAAATATATCAGTGATAAATTTTTCTTGGTGTTTTACTCTCAGTATTATTAACTTCTCTAACTCGATTCATTTAATTTTATTTTTTTAAAAGTTGTTTAATTATTAACTGGCACCAAAAAGTGAAAAACCATAAATAGTAAATATAAAAAAGAAAATAATTAGAGTTGTAATTATGCAAGTTTTAAGACTCAAATCAAAGGTTAAAGATTTAAACAATTGTTTGTGTTTCCTAACAGGAGAATAAGTTGATATTTTTTTCATGCCAAAATTATTAAATTTATTTTACATTTTTAGTGAGAATTGGCAAAAACTCGCACATTATTTTTAAAAAAAATATTTCGCGAACTATAATTACCTCCGATTTTTAGTTTGTGTTGGAACAGCAAATTGAATAAGTGGTTTTTTTTGGTTTTTATTCACAAAAAATTTTTTAACTGAACCTCGAAACCCTATCGAGAAATAGACTATTAAATTAAACAAACTGAACCAAAATAAAACTAAGATAATTTTTCAAACAAAGCGAAAACCATTGATACCAAACTTCTTCATCATTGTTTTAGAACTAAGGAAAAAATAAGGTCAACGAGCCCCAAAATCTTTGAAATATTTTCTATCGCCAAGCAGACTGCGCAAATAACAGTAAAGAAAATAGGTGATGGGCATAATAAAAGAAATGAGGGTAGTTAATTTCAATCTTTTTTCGAGATGATTTTTTGGTGCATGACGAAAAAACCAAACAATAAAGTAAGTTGGAGCAATAAAATGCCAAAGTGGTGAGTAAAATCATCACCGAACTACTCTAAGGATTTGACCTGGTTGTTTATCTATTTCGAACTCACTTATGCTGTGGTTAGGAATAGGAACTAACTTGTTTTTTGCTCAATTTGTCAACCCTCAATAATTAGTTAAATTCGTGACAAGCCAGATAATTATACCCATACCATAAATAACCGCAGAAATTAAGTTACTAGACATGATCACGAAAGTAAAAACCTGAGCAAAAAAAGTATTACTTTTTGGTTTTCTTAGTTTCCAAAGAACAAAAACAATAGTTAAAAGACTATTTCAAACACATCACCAAGTTAAAAAGTGAAAAAAGTAAGAACCAAGATAATTTAATTTGTCCTCGCCACTAAATCAACTGAGAATTAGACAATATATATTAGCAATAAGCAAGAAACGGAAAAGATTTCGAGACTTTCATTTCATATGTAAATTTTTATTAACTGTTAGTAGTTTAAGAGATTTTTTTTCTAAATTTCTAAATCTAACTTGTTCCCTTTGCAAAATTAAATTTACTCATTATTTTTTCAAAATTATTTTCTTTAATTCATTCGATTAAAACATTAACTAAAATTGGCATTGTTTCCATCAATATTTCATTTTCTGATTGAGAAAATTTTCCTAAAACCCAATCACGAATAAGAAATTTGTCGTCATAACCAATACCGATACGCAAGCGCTTGAGTTTTTTTGTTCCTAATTTTTCAATGATATCCTTCATTCCATTATGTCCTCCATCTGAACCTTGCACACGATAACGGAATTTTCCTAAAGGTAAAGAGATATCGTCATAAATCACTAGTAAATCACTAAGTGGTATTTGAAAATAATTCGCAAAAGCCGAAACACATTCACCAGAATTATTCATATATGTTTGTGGTTTGAGGAGAATATATTCTTTTGTTCGATAATACAAACCATTAAATTTTTGCTTATTTAATTCAACTTCTAACTTATTTAATAATTGATCAATAATTAAAAATCCCAAATTATGTCTAGTCTCTACATATTCTTTACTAGGATTACCTAGTCCCACAATTAGTTTCATAATACAACTCACGATCTTCTATCCTTTTTAGAAAAAGAAAAACAATTTGAATATTTTTTAACTTTATTTATAAATATTAATGTAGTGAATTTTGCCTGGGAATGCTTTTCCCAAAAATACAGGTCGGCACTCGCACATATACCTTTTCCATATTTTTCTTTAATTTCTTCTGACTTCACTGAATTCAATTCTTCAAATTCGAGAACATTTTGAACGGTAAATTCACCAAAAATTTTTTTCTTCCCGCTTTTTTTCATTAATACGATATCGCCAATATTTACCTGACCATAAGGAACAATTTTTTTTTCTGGGAAAAACGGCTTTCAATAATTTTCCCCTCCTTCCAAAATGAGATCTGAAAAAGACTGCCGAAAAATTGCTAAGTGTTTTTTCACTTGTTTTTTAAAATGGCGCTCCGGGGAGGATTCGAACCCCCGACGACTTGTTTAGGAAACGAGCATTCTAGTCCACTGAATTACCGGAGCAGATTAACTATTTTTTATAAACAAAGTAACCATTCCAATAATAAAAAACATTCCAGGAAGAACCAAAAAAAATATCATAAAAATTATTGAATCTTTTCGGTCCTGCCTCGTGGCACACTTTTTACAATAAATTTCATTGCCTCAGCGACCTCAACCATTTACTTTTCAATAACTACTAGTTTTGGCAACTTCCTTCCCCCGCAGGAATTTTCTTATAACAATTAGAACATAGCATAATTTTAAGTAAATTTAACTCTAATGATTTTTTAAGTTTAAGATTGCTACAAGAAAAACCAAAATTATGATTAAAATAATCCCACCAGAAAGAATAATCAACTTATTGAACATTAATTCTTCTCTTCTTGTTTGTTTTTTTAGCACAACGAACACAAATTATCCTAGCACATCCCCCCTTCCACACCTTGTCAATAACCAGAGCATCAATAAATCCCGGCATTCCTCTCATAATCTCTTCTCCTTCGGGAATTTTCTTATAGCATTTGTTACACAACATAATCTTTAATAAAATAATTTTAAAAATTTACTAAGTGGGATTGGCGGAATGGTAGACGCGCAAGGATGAGGTTCTTGTGCTGAAAGGCGTGAGGGTTCGAGTCCCTTGTCCCACACCAATTATTAATTAAATTAAGGATTTTGGAAAAATTGATTTGAATAATTAAGGCAATTTAGTTTTCATTATACCAAAATTTAGTTCACTATTTGATTAGTTAAATTACTAAAATTATAATATTGATGATAAAGAATAGTTGCTATTCGGGGATGCGAGTTTTGACTTAGTTGAAGTCGGTAATTATAGCAATAAACCAGTTTTGTTAAAAAAAATCAAAACGAAGAAAACATTAATGTGCCAGTAGAATTGTTAAATAACAACTACGGACGCAATCAAATAGCTTTCGCGGCTTAATGATTGCCTAATTATTTGCTCCATTCAAATAGGTTAGTAATAAAATTGGAATTGATTGGTTAATTTTGGTTATTTTTTGACTAATTAATTATTAAAAAATATCCTACCTATTGAAAAATATTCGTTTATTAGTATTCAAATCGGGAAATTATAATAATAAACTAAGTTGTAGAAGTAATTACTAGCCATCTGAGGACATGGGTTCAATCCCATCATCTCCACCATATAATTAATATTCTAATCAAAATTTGGTTGAAAACGATTATTGGTTATTAATTAGTTGCCAAATAATTCAATATAATACTTTTTCCAAGGAAATTGTTACTATTTAATTATCATTCATTGTTATTCCGTTATTACTATATAGATTGCTAATTATGTTTAAAAAGTACTGATTTACTTATTACTTATAACAAATTAGAAGCAAAAGATATTAGAGATGGAAAAAGAGGCTGGTTAAATATGTTATTCGTTAACGCGAGATGGATGTTAAGGTTGAGTTAACTATAGTTTTCTTTAAGTTAGAAAAAGATAATTCTCTATACTCTTAAGGTTCTACTTATTATACTATATAAAATATAAAGAGGAGGAGGGGACTTTTTTTCTAATTTAAGAGAAAAGAGATAAAAAAAATTTTAGTGAGTTGAGTGAAAGTTATTGTTTATGTTCTTGATTAAGGAAATTAAATAAATAATAAAGCAATATATATATATATATATATATATGAAAAGCAAACAAAAAAATACGTTTATTGTTGGAATTGTTTCGTTTGTTTTCGTTGCTAGTCTAATCATTTTTTTTATGTTTTTTCACCAGCGAATGAAAAAAACTTTGGTTCCTGAACATTCACTACCAAAAGAAAGTAATAATAATCTTTCTCCAAAAAAAATACTTGCCAGTCAAATCCAGGCAGATTTAAAAAAAGATTTGGAGGAAGCCAAAAAGAAGGAAAAAAGCAAAAGTGGATTTGGAGGATGTAGTTGAATAATAGGAAGGGGAGAGATTTGTAGCGAATACCGAGGAAATGATCAGCGATTAAGTTATTTTGGTTCTCTCGAAACCGATTCTGGTAAAAAATATAAAGAAAGAATCAGATATGAGGGAGAAGGAATCTGTGTTTTTCCTGAGGAATTAGAAACTAGCGATTGGAAAGAAATTGAAGGTTTAATTAAGCAAATAAAAGATTTAGAAGAGAAAAAAAAACCCCAAAAAACCCAAGAAGAAAAGACTAAAATTAATCAAGAGTTAAAAAGTAATCCGAAAATGTTTTTCTATGAGGGAGTATGAGAATGATGAGATAACGATCCTCGTAATTATGAAAAGGGACATCATGTTTTTCGAGGAATAGAAAGTAATCAAGAGTTTTATTTAGTTTTTCCCAAAAACCACCCAGCAATAGCGAGCCTTCCTAAACACAAAGAATTTCCGAATGAAAAACAAAGCCAAATATTAGTATTAATTGAGGAAATTAAAGATATAACCCTTCAATCAAACGGGAAAGTAGATTTTTGAAAAAAAGTAAAATTGACTGACAAAATTACTATCACTTCTTATAATTTTTCTGTTTAGCGTTTATTTATGAGAAAGATTTAATTTAAAATTAGTCATGGCAGCAAAAAATAAATATTCTTATCAAGATTGTTGAAATTATGCTATTTCTTTACAAGGTGATATTGAAATTGAAAAAGTAAAAAACGATGTAATTAGCCTTTGTTGAACAACTTCCGAGATTTTTTGATCAACTTTTTCAGAGAAATTTTTAAATCTTTCTGATTATTTGTTAATTTGTGGTAATTTAGGTAAATATTTAAAAGAAAATTATCCAGTTCCTTATTTAGTTAACAAAGTTTATTTTTATGGATTGCCTTTTCAAGTGAAAAAAGGTGTTTTTATTCCGCAAAAAGATACTGAAATATTAGTAGAAAAAACTTTGGAAATTGCTGATAATTACTGGTTAAAAAAAGAAAACTTGAAAGTGTTAGACATTGGGACTGGTTGTGGTAATATTGCGGTTTCCTTGGCTAAAAATCAACCAAGTTGGAATTTTGTGGCGATTGATATTAACCAAGAAGCTTTGGAAGTGGCTAAAGTTAATGCTGAAATTCATCAAATAAAAAATGTTAATTTTGTTCAAAGTAATTTATTTGATAATGTGGAAATAAATGAAAGATTTAATATTATTATTTCTAATCCCCCCTACATTAGTGAATATGAATATAAAAAACTTTCGATTTCTACTCAAAAACAACCAAAAGAGGCTTTGGTGACGAGAAATGATGGTTATTTTTTTTATCAAGAAATCTTCCGAAAAATTCACAATTTTTTGGCGAAAAAATTCTTATTGGTGATTGAAGTTGGTCATTCGCAATCCGAGGAGGTTATAAAATTATTAATAAATTATTTTCCCGAAACCAAGTTATCTATTTTTTTTGATTACCAAGGCAAATCACGAATGTTGGCGATTTATCAAATTACTTAGCAAGAAATGGTTTGGTAGCTCAGTTGGTTAGAGCGTCTGATTGAAGATCAGAAGGTCGGCAGTTCGATCCTGCCCCAAACCACCAAAGTATAATATAAAAATAATAAGTATATGGTAATAGTAAAAAAAACATCAGTGCCGATAGTGGGAAAATCAAAATTAGCCGAACAGGTTTATAATTCTAAAGGAAAAAAAAATTCTTTAACCAAATCGCAAGTTGAAGTAGTGATTAGTGAAATGTTGGAAGAAATTAAAAAAACTCTAATAGAGGGTAAAGAAATTCGACTACCAGGTTATTTTTCACTAAAAACTGCTATATCTAAGCCACGAGTGGCCATGAATTTGCAAACTAAGAAAAAAATGAATATTCCGGCTAAACGAGTTCCTAAAATCAAGTTTTCAGTTGATTTAAAGGAGGGAATTGCTAAAAAGAAATAAAAAATAAGAGCGGGAAGTAAACTTCCCTCTTGCGAATATAGTTCAATGGCAGAACCTTAGCCTTCCAAGCTAATGATGAGGGTTCGATTCCCTTTATTCGCTCCATTAATAATAAAATAAATAATATAAAATAAATAATATAAAATATGTCAGACGATAAAAGAAAATTTAAAATATTTGTTAAAAAAGAAAAAACTGCTGGTAAAAAGGATTACGAAAAAGTAGAAATAGGTAGTGTTGAGGTAGAAGATAAACATGATAAAACTATTGACACAACAATAGAAGTTGGTACTGGTGTTGATTCGGTAACTTACACAGTAAAAGGTAAATTCAAAAAAGGGTATATGTGAGACAGCCTTGAAGATTTGGAAGTTGCTACTTTGAATACTAGTGTTGTAATTGATCCAAAAGGTTCAGAGGCTAAAGCTGAGCAATGGAGATGATTTCCGTGAACAATTCCAGGTATTGCTATAATATTATTAATGCTTGGTGCTGCTGTGTGATACTTCATGTATTCCGGTAACGAAGAAGAAAAAGAAGAAGAATTATAAAAAAGGAGTATTTTACTCCTTTTTTTATGTTGAAAACCCTAATGAGAGAAGAGGAATTTGCCTCTTTCCTTGAAAATAATAAATTAGTCTTAGTAAAGTTCTTTACTATTTGATGTTCTCCTTGTCAAGAATTACAGAAAAATCTCGAAAAGTTATTGCTAGAAAAAAAAGATTTAACAGTCTTAGAAGTCGATGCTGAAAAATTTTCGGGATTAGCACAAAGACCAATTTTTAGTGTTCATTCTGTTCCTAGTCTATTTCTTTTTCGGCAAGGCGAGATGATTAAGAAAATAAATGGAAATATGAGTGTTGAACAATTAAAGTTATTTGTAGATTCTTAGTAGGCCCGTTGGTGAAGCGATTAACACACATGCCTTTCACGCATGCATGACGGGTTTGATTCCCGTACGGGTCACCAAAAGAAATTTCATTGGATGTATTACTTTTAAACTATGTCGCACTTTGCAGAAAATAAAAAAGTTGTTTTGTAAACTTTGCTTTTCGCCGCAGATTTAGAGCCTTTTAGACATGGAGAGGTGTAGTTCAATGGTAGAACATCGGCCTTCAGATCCGATTACGTGGGTTCGATTCCTACCACCTCTGCCAAGTGAAGAGCTGCCCAAATCGCGCAATTGGTAGACGCAATGGACTTAAGATCCATAAAGTGTCGGTTCGAATCCGACTTTGGGTACCAGGTTTAATAGGTTCTGTAGTGTAGTGGTTAACACACCTCTCTGTCACAGAGGAGATCGCGAGTTCGATTCTCGTCAGGACCGCCATAAAAAATTTAATGATAATAATAAAAATTTCAAAAAAAAGCGACAGCGAAAAATCTTTTTTAGTTTTCAAGAAAGCAGTTTCTTTCAACTTACGTAAGTACCGAAAAGGATTTTTTTTTCAAGGAAAGAAAAAAAAATAACCAATGTTTTATGAAAAATAAAAAAGATGCAAAACTTGAAGTTTGCGAAGCGGGAAGATCGTTAAACTTCCTTGAAATTGATGAAGATCTTGAAGTTGTAAGTGGTAAACCAAAGATAACTTTAATTAATCACGAAAAAGTCGCAACAAATGATTATGAAAAATTCAAGCAAGATAATAGAAATGAAGGAAAAATTGAAGTAATATTTAGAATTAAATTTACTTCAGAATTATTTTGAAAACCTTCGAGAGAAAAATTAGTAAAATATTATTTAGCTCCAATTCATAATGATTCAGAATATAGAAAATTTAAAAAAGAAGCCGAAATTAAATATCTTTTTGATAAAATAATAAAGTCAGATATTGTAGAATATGAGATGAAAGATAATCATTTCGATAATCTTACATGTAGAATAAGGAACTTTAGTGGAAAACTTGAATTAGAATTATTCAATAGAAGTGGACAGATGAATATAATAAATATTAGAGAACCTAATGTAGAATTAGAATTTGAATATTTTGTTGATAAATATAACTTAAATGATGTTTATACTCCTCCTTCATCGCCATCACCAAAAAAAGACGAAAAATTTTTAACCACTAAAAAAATTATTGTGGCGGTTTTATCAGTGGCAATTGTTTCAATAATATTTCTTCTCCGAGAAAAGCTTTGGAGATGATGAAAAGGAGAAAATAATCAAGAAAAAAAAGTTCGGGAACAACTGGACATATTTTAGAGAAAAAAATTGAAGAAAGAATTAGAAGTATTCATTTCTTATAAAAAATACTGCTTTTCATCAAAAAATCAAGAAATTTTAGAAAAAATTCTAAAAATAGTTTCTAATGGTAATTATTATTTAGTTAACCTTTTCTTAATCGGTAGAAGAAAAAGTCGGCAATTAAACTATCATTATCGAAAAATAGATAAAACTACTGATGTGTTGGCTTTCCCCTTTTATTATTCTTACAAAGAAGAAGTCAATTTTTCAAAGTTTGCTTCATGCGACTTAGGAGACATTTTCGTTTGTTATCCACTAGCCATCATGCAAGCTCGGCAAAAAAAAACTTCTTTGGAAAAAGAAATTTACTTTTTGTTTCTCCATGGTTTGTTACATTTATTAGGTTATGATCACGAAGAAAGCGAAGAAAAAAAAGTAATGTTTGCTCTGCAAGATAAGATTTTAAAGAAGTTGAAATTATAAATTTTATACTTTATTTTAGCTAATTTTCAATAATTGTTTTTGTTTTCCTACTTATCATTTAGGACATACTCCAATAAAATTAGATAAAGTATTAAGTTTTTCACTTACTTGTAATTTCATTATATTTTTAATTTTAACATTAAGAAATTAGAAAATACTGCTACTACTTCTTGTCGAATAGTTTCTCGGGATTTATCAATTTCTGCTTTAAAATCGCTTTCAAACCCTCTGCTTCATTTGGTTCCAATCCTCCCCCCTCTTTGGATTGATTAATCAAACGGACTAAAAATGTAAGGGTTGGCGAGAAAGGTCGCTTTCAAAGGTTGTTCGTCATTTCTTTTCACGGACTCCACAAAGTCTTTGAGCTTTCATTGTTCTCTCGGTAAGATTTCTTGGTCGATAGGGATGGCTTCCTCGTAGACTATTTCACTAAAGACCGTGCCTCGGGCTATCTTACCTCTTGCTTTCCGGAAGGAGAATAAATCAAAAAAGTATATTCTCTTGCGCCCTTGGTAGAATAAGCCTTGTTCTTGAATGTCAAAATCATTATATTTAAGGTCTTTTTCTTCACAAAACTTGGAGACTAAATCTTGAAAGTAAGGTTTGGTGCATTCTAAGGAGTCATGTCAGTGTCGGCGAAGTCAGATGAATCTAAGTAAAGGTTTGGGCCTTCCTCCTCTATCTTTCTTGCTTTCACTGTTAGTTACTATCTGTTCTAAGAAGGTTCAAGCCTTGCAGTCGGTCTTTCCTCTCTTTCGTTCAGTGAGATAGATGTGGAACAACGCCTTGTCTTTTTATATCTCTGGTCAGTTAATAAGTTTATTGTTCATGATTACTCGATAATTTCTTCTGGTTTCTCTTCTAGTGTGGGTTCTTCCTCTTCAAAATAACAATTACTTCGACAGCTAGGACAACCATCTTCACAACCATGCTCAAGTTCTTCTTCTCTTTGTAAGCAAGCACAAGAGGTTCAAATATCTCTAATAGCTTGCTCCAATCTTTTGATTAACTATTCGGTGGTCATATCATTTACCCAATTCACTATAAAAGTATCACTCATCACTATAAAGTTTAGAACCTTTTTTAACATTGTCTCTAATTATTGGCACTAAAGTTCTCATTTTAACATTAGGAACCACTTGGATAATTAAATAACCGTTTCTTTGTAATATTCCTAAGACTGGTGTTTTATCTGCTGCACCACGACCCTGACATCGAGGAATTTTCTTATTTCAGTGTCTATTTGGATTAGCACCTCCAACAAGTGTTTCATCTATCTCCTATAACCTCCAAAATTAGGTTGTTCAAGAATACTTCGCAAATCTTTTAACAAAAGTCAAGTTGTTTTTTGAGTAACAGAAAGTCTTTTGGATAACTCATAGGAGGAAATGCCTTTCTTAACGGCAAAAAAACATAATGCTAAAAATCATTTTCTTAAAGGCAGTTTAGTTCTAGCAAGTATAGTTCCAGTCTTGACATTGAAGCGCTTTTTTGTTATACTACACTTTATATCAATCATCAACAAGTTCATAGACCTTAGCAGAAGATTTATAAGGAGAAATTGGCATTCCTTCTTTTTTAAAGTATTTAATATACTTTTCGTTAGAAGGAGAGGTTTCTAGTAGGTCAAAAGGGCTTTTTTTAGGTTTATTAGACATGATTATTTTTCTTTCTCTTTCCTAAAAGATAAGCAACTAATCTTACTATCACTATTATTCCTATTCCTCCAATTATTCAAGGTAAATAATTAGTTGGCTGCCTGGTGTTAGTTCCTTGCTTTTGCAAATCAGTTAAATTCAAAGCAGTTATCAATAAGATTGAACTTGTTGTAGTTCAGGAGTATTTATAGTTTGAGTTGATGATTGAGAATTATTATACTCAATTATTAAACTGTTGCCATTCAAGGTAATAATTCTGATGTTGTTCCTTTGGAAATAAGTCAAAACTCTCTCTCTCTCTCTCTCTCTGAGATTCTTCCTTCTTTTCTCGTTCTTGAAATTTCTATTTTTTTCATAACTACATATAGTAAATTTTTAATGAAAAATTAGGAAAAGAGTAAGAAATTATTAAAACTCTTATCTCTAAATACTTTTTACAATAAACTTAACACATCAACTTCGCATTTTAACTTTAAATGATTTTAAAACTAACAGCAGTATCTATTCGTCCTTGAACATCAGCATCTGCAGTAAAAAAATCATTTAAAATATCATTTTTTTCTAAATAAATGAATTAAGAAATAATTATAATTACAATTTTTGACAATTATAACAAAAAAATGTTCCGCGACCATTCATTACTACTTTGGTAATGGCAGTTTGACAATTATAGCAAGCCCTTTTATCACGAAAATAAACTTTTAATTCATTTTGATAAGAACCTTTTTCGCCAGAAGGAGTAATGAAATCAACTATTGAAGTTCCTCTCAACTCAATAGCCCTTTTAAGAATAGAACATGAAAGATCGATTATCTTTTTAATTTGTTTTTTTGAAAGTTCTTTAGTAACAGTAAAAGGATTAATCCGAGCAGCAAAAAGTATTTCCGAAGCATAAATGTTACCAATTCCTGCTACAAACTTTTGATCTAACAGCAAAACTTTAATCGGAATTCTTACTTTCTGACAATGAACAAAAAGTTTATTAATGTCTACTTCATCATTCACTAGATCAGGACCAATGTCCTTATAAGGCGATAACAACTTATAATCGTTTAAATTTTGTAAGTGAAAAGCACCAAATCCCCGAGTATCACAAAAAATAAGTTTTTTGCCATTATCAAAATAAAATATTATACCAATTCCTTTCTTTTCTGCCAAAAGTTCAGCTGGAACTTCATCGAAAAAATATTTTCCGCTCATTCGTAAATGGCTAAGTAGCGCTCATTCATCAAGAAGAAAAACTAATTGCTTGCCTTTTCTTTCTATGTTTTTAATACTTTGACCTATTATTTTTTTAATAAATTCTGCCGGAAGAATTTCTTTGATATGGTAATTTTTCTTTATTTCTACTTGCAAAATAGGAGAATTCATTATCCCACTTTTTAAGAGAACTCGCAGAACTGTCTCAACTTCTGGTAATTCTGGCATATAATAAGTATTAGCAAAAAAAACTAATTGTCTAAGGCAAGGCTTTAGAAAAATTGTTTATCTTATATCCTTTTTCCCTAATTATCTTCATTAACTGTGATTTTTCCTTAGGAGAACTGATAAAAGTCACTGTTTTGCCACTATTCCCGGCCCTTCCTGTTCTTCCAATACGATGAACATAAAACTCAGAACTTTGCGGAAAATCATAATTTATTACATAGTTAATATTATTAACATGAATTCCCCGTGCCGCTACATCAGTGGCAACCAATATAGGAATTTTTTTATTACGAAATTTATCTAAAACTCGACTACGACGATTTTGAGAAAGGTCACTATGAATATAATCAACTATCAATCCTTCTCTTCTTAATACATCTTCTATTTCTTCCACTCTTCTTTTAGTATTAGAAAAAACTAAAGTTGATTTAGGTTTGCTAGCAAGCAAAAATTTGGCTAAAGTTTGAGATTTTTGCCGAGGCATTGTTTCCAAATAATATTGTTGAATATTATTTTCTTGAGTTTCTTCACTTTTTCCAACAATAACTCGCGGATCTTTTAAAAAACGACGAGAAAATACTTCCACATCCGGAGAAATAGTTGCTGAAAAAAGCAAAGTTTGTCGAGTAGCAGGAGTTTTTTTGATAATCCATTCAATTTCTTTTAAAAAACCTTTGTTAATCATTTCATCCGCTTCGTCCAAAACCACAAATTTTAAATTATCAGTTTGGAAAGTTCTTCTTTTTAAATGATCAGTAATTCTTCCTGGCGTTCCTACTACTATATCAACTCCTCTCCGAAATGCTCTTATTTGTTTTTCCATAGAATCGCCACCATAAACTGCCAGAGAATGCAATCCGAGATGTTGCGATAATTTTTTTCCTTCTTCGCTGACTTGACAAGCTAATTCACGAGTTGGAACAAGAACAAGAACTTGTGGATAAGGAGCTTTTTTTAACTTTTCGAGAACAGGAATAATAAAACTAGCAGTTTTTCCGGTTCCGGTTTGCGATTGACCAATAATGTCTTTTCCACTTAATACTAAAGGTATTACTTTTTCTTGAATGTCGGTTAGTTTACTATATCCTATCGCTATTAGGTTTTTTTTGGTTTGTTCTGATAATTCGATTTTTTCTAAATTCATTTTTTTCTTTTAATTTAATTAGTTTATCATCATCTTTTTTAAGCGCTTCCAATCACTAGGGTGAAGTAAAGAACTTTTTCGTAAATGACGTTTTTGTTTGGTTGATTTGCTATATGCCAAGTGAGAGGTATGCGAACTTCAATGTTTTACTTTGCCTTTTTTAGATAAAGGCTTTAGGCGTTTTGTAAGAGCTTTGCTAGAACGAATTTTGTATAGCGACATATCAATAATATAATTTTAATGATTTTATTTTAGTTAGTTGAATAAGAAAGTAAAGTTATTGCTTTTTCTTGTAGAGAAAAAAATAGAAACTACTACCAAGATGCTTACGAATATTATCTTTTAACTCAATTTTGGGAGATTCACTTTGCAAGTCAGCAATTATTTTTTGGCATTTCTCATAAGCTATTTCCGGATGAGTTTTTTGTTTGCCAGACATCACTAAACTAAATTTTACCATCGAACCCTTTTCTATTCATTCTTTAGCCTTTTTTAATTTAACTCTTAGATCATTTTCTTCGATATTAAAAGAAACACTTATTTCTTTACAAGTTTCTTTTTTTTTATTCTTTTTATTTTTACTTAGTTCAAAAAGATATTTTTGATAATCGATTAGTTTACAGACAGGCGGACTGGCCTCTGGAACTACACAAAAGAGATCTAAGTTAGCCTCTTTGGCTTCATTGAGAGCTTCTTGACGAGTAATAACCTCTCTCTTATCTCCATTAATTAACAAAACTCGTGAAAAAGCAATATTTTCATTAATCAAGTGAGAGTTAAATTCAATTTTTTTATTTTTTAAAACCATTCTTCAACTTTCTTATTATCAACACAAATAGTGTGAATTCTTAGATAATTATCTTTGTTGTAATTCATAATTATTATTGTTTTTCTCTTTTAACTTAATAAACAATTCTTTTTCATTCAACTTGCTTACTTCATTGAGAGAATAAGTATGAATTAATTTTAGTACTTTTGTTTCTAACTCTTCATTACCTACTACCAAATAATAAGGAACCTTTTTTTTGTGGATTTCTCGAATGCGATAATTTAATGACTTGTTACTTCAAATTTCACTTCTTAAATTATTGATTGATAAATTCTTCTGTAATTTTTGGCTATATTCTAAGATTTTTTTATCATCATTTAGGAGCAAAATAACTAATTGAATTGGCGCTAATCAAAAAGGTAATTTGCCCTGAGTTTGTTCACAAAGCAAAGCAATAAAACGCTGGTAAGAACCAATCGGAGAATGGTGAATAATAACTGGAGTTTTTAACTCTTGTTTTTCATCAATATATTGTAAAACAAATTTTTGCGGAGTAGGAAAATCAACTTGCATAGTGGCTAAGGTAATAATTTTTCCATCAGCCGCTTCAACTTCAATATCTAATTTTGGACCATAAAAAGCAGCTTCGCCAGACAAAATGATATAATCTAATTTCAATTCTTCTAAGACTTCTTGTAAAATTTTTTCAGATTTCTCTCATAAAAACTTATCAGAATGATACTTTTGCCAATTGTTCGGATCATGAGTAGAAAAAGTTAAACGAGCAATTTTTAAGTTAAATGTTTTTAAAACTTGGGAAATATAAAGATAATTAATTTTCAACTCTTCCTTTAATTTTTCCATACTTACGAAAATATGGTGATCAGGTAACTCAAAATAACGTACTCTTTCTAAACCTTTTAAACCACCTGATGCCTCATAACGAAAAAGCAAAGAATTCTCACATAAACGCAAAGGTAATTCTCGGTAAGAACGAGGTTTTTGCTGAAAAATTAAGCAATGGTGCGGACAAGTCATTGGTCGCAGACGCAAATTTTCATTATTCCGACTAATTACGGGAAACATATATTCCTCATAATGGGCCAAATGCCCACTAGTTTGATACAATTCTTCACTTCCCAAAATGGGAGTAATTACTTCTTGAAAACCAAATTCTTTTTGCTTTTGGCGAAAGAAATTTTTTACTTGATTATGTATTATAACATAATTAGGCAAGAGAATAGGCAAACCTTGACCAACTTTTTCGTCAATAATATATAAATCAAGTTCTTTATTAACAAGGCGATGATCTTGAGTTAAATTTTTGTCTTTTTCCATTTTATTTTATTTTTACAGTGAAATAAGGAAAGTTTAAAGAAGAACTTCAAAATAAAAAAAACATCCATTAGAAATTAAGATCTAGAAACTAATCTCGTGACGAATTAGGCGTTTTTGTGCCGCTCTTTTTCTTTCCTGTAAACAATAATAAATAGAGTGATGAATACTGTCAAAATAATTACTGCCCTAGTTTCTCTTGTTTAGTAAGACTTCTTATCGCCACGTCTCTTTTTCGATCCTTTTCTCCTGCTTTTCTCATTCGCGAACACAATCAAGGGAACAAAATTTGAACTTTTTACTTTTATCGTCATAACTGCTAGTTCAAGTACTATACATACTATATTTTCTTCGGCATTTTTCACAAATGAATTTCCGGCTCATTTTCCTAACCACCTTGACAAAATCTCATTTCTTATCCAAAGTCACTCTTCAATCTACAAATTTGTTAATTTCCTCTTTCCAATCTCTCACTCCCAATCTTTGGTTTAATTTTTCATCGGAAATTTTATTTGGTAATAGTTCAGATCCTAAATCTTCAATATATTCTCGTTTGGCTCTGTTATCAAATTTACTTTTTCAAGAATCATAACTTTCATTTTGTTCTCTTTTAATTCTTCTCCAAATTTTCTATTATTTTCTTGATCTCGTTCCCATCATTCATAGTTGTTACTAGAAAAATAATTATTTTTTCATTCACTTTCCTTTTGTTTTTCGTATCCTAGATCTTCAAAAATTCCATCACTTTTCTTTCCATCTTTTATTAAACGAACGGAAATCTATCACCAGTTTTTTTTAAAGTTTTATCCTAAATGATATAATGGTAGCAGAGAGAGGGCTCGAACCTCCGGCCTGACGAATATGAGTCGTCTGCTCTAACCAACTGAGCTACTCTGCCTTTAATATAATATTATTTTAAATTAGAAAAAAATTAGGACTAACAAGAGTTATGGTGATAAATACTAGATTAATAAGAGAATGAAGCAAAATGGGAGATAAGATATTCCACTTACTCTTTTTGTAAATGTAAATAAAGCCGAAACTGGCCACGGAATACTGGAGAAACAGTATTCCAAGAGCCTCTCCAGAGTGAAAATGAGCCAAAATAAAAGTAAAAAAAGAAAATAGATAAGAAAGTAAATTTTTCTTACCAAAAATAGCGAAAATAAAGTGGCGAAAAATACACTCTTCAAGGATTGGTCCTAAAAAACATAAACCAAAAATTACTTGCGGAAGACGCCAAAAACTTTCCTTGATGCTAGAAACGATTTCTATTAACTTCTTGATCTTTTCTGATTTGTTGTATTAAATTAGAAGGATTAATCAAAAAAAAAGTAAATTTAAAGGCGAAATGAATAAAAGTTAAAAAGAAAAGTAGTTCAATCACTTGCCAAAATAGTTTCTTTTTCTCTTTCTGTAAAGAATATCAGATCTTTTTTCTCTCTTTTTTTAATACTCACAAGACTACTAAAAAACCAACGATAGCATAACGAAAAAAATATTTCCCTAATATTTTACTCTCAATCCAATCTTCTCACTTCATTTTTTTATTTTTCTTGGGTTACTTTTAAATAGTCTGGATAAGAATTAGCAATATTTTCCAATTGATAAAGCATTAGATTTAAGCACAAATTAAGTTCAGCATTACCCTTTTGAGAATAAATACTTATTTCAACTGGAAGATAAGAAATTAAACAATCATTTTTATAATACTTTTGAAGAAAATTGACCGTGCCATTAGTAATTGCAGAAATAGCAGCACATACTATATCTTGACCTTTTTCTGCATAATTAGCATGATCTTTAATAATTAAGTATTCAAA